GATGCCACACGCCCCTCGCGCGAGGCAGTTCGCAGAGCACCTCCTACCCACGCGAGGTTAGCAGCCAACGCGGCCGAAGGATATAGTTAGAGGCTGCGCAGGCCGTCCCGTTTGCTGTTTGAAACGCCTGTTGCGCTGGCACCTTGTGATTTTTGGGTCAAAATCGTCCCGATTTCATAATGTTCGTTCGTACGTGCATCCGCGGCGCCCAGCGCGGTGCCAGCGGCTCCCATACCTCTAAGAGGCCACCCACCTCCGTATAGACCCTTATATCCGCGGTTTACGCCCAATAGAGGCAGCTGCAAGAGGGCCCGGACGGGCACTGCGGCACACACTGCTCGCTGCTCGGCCATGCGGTAGCGTCTGGTGATGCCGCCCCTGCGCGGGCGGGGGCGTCTCGCTCGGCAGCAACTGCGCCGCGCAGCGCAGGTTCGAGGGTCGCGGTGGGTGGGTGCACTGGAAGACGTAGCGGTCGAGAAAGCGCTCAGCGACCGCTACGTCTCGAGGATGGAGCCGTCGCGCGGACCCGACCGGCCGACCGGCAGTAGCAGCAGGCGCCGGAGGGCGCGGGAGGCAGCCGCGACACCTCGGGCCAGAAGCGCGAGCCCTAGGCTGGTGAGGGGGCCCGCTCATGCGTAAACGGCTCTGGGACTTAGCTAAATCGCGCATCGAAATCGGGACGATTTTGCCAGGGCACCGTCACAAGGTGCCGCTACGCGCGCGCTGGCCGCTGCCGGGGCTCTGTCTCACTCTCACGTGCCGCAGTATATGTCACACACGGCGGCTTCTGCCACCTCTCGATTGGTTCCACTTTCTCCGCACACCTACCGGGGAAGGGGCGCTTGGGAGCGGGGGCGGGGGCGGGGGCGGGGGCGGGGGCGCGCAGCGCGGCTGCGCGGCGCGCGCAACAGAGGGTAGGGTGGGGAAGACGGCGAGGAGGGGGCGGCGGCGGCGGCGGCGGCGGCAGCGCGCGCGCGGCGCGCGCAACGGGGGGGCGGAGCAGCGACCGCTGGCGCGGCCGCTGCTCCGTCTGTG